CACGGCAGCAAGAAAACGCCATTCAGGCCATGGAGCTGCGCAACTACTTCTCCCTGTTCTGCCTGCACCAGGAGAGCCAGCTCATATTTACATACCTGCTCATTACGTCTCACATCCTGGGGGCATTTGTAGACTCCCAGGTGCAGGGACATAAAGAGGTAAGCTTACCATAAGCTTATCTAGTATCTCTGTGTTAACGCTATTCATTTTAATGTGTGCCAAAGTTAGTTTTATTACTTTGATCCTAACAAAGCCTTCTAATATTTGTTGTTGCGTCTTATGTTGCTCTGATCTAGATGGGTGAGGTGTGGCAAGATCTTCATTCCAAGCTTAAAAGTCTTTTTGGGGACGGTAACGGACAGTCTCCGCCTCTCAGCCCAAAATAGCCTCCCTTCTGTGCTTTCATGATCATCCAGCCTGTTTTGAATAGCAGGAACTATTCAGGAACTACAGACAGTCAGTATTCTTTCTTGCAAAGAATTATGGGGAACTGCTTCTGTGTAAATGTGTTATGTGGCAGTTCTTAAAATCTGTCTGTCTGAGGTGAAAAGGGCCCTTAAATTCCTAGAGTTTGAACAAACTGACACCTAAAATAAACGGCTAATGTTGTTGAGAATAATTTTAGGTTAGATGTTACAACACTGTATTAATGTTTAATCTACATGTATGCAAAGCTGATGTTGTTGTTTAAAACGTAAGCTAATCTGAAAAAGAAATTTTACATTGTAAAAAAAAAGTGTAAACACATGAAAGATGACCTATATTTACTATTTTAGTGCAATATAAAGAAATGAACTGAGAAGCTAATAGCCAGTGAGCAAGAGCAGTGGTCAGTTGAATACACTTAGCAAACATGGGAAATATGCAGAAATGATGTTATTTGATGCAAAGGCATCATATTCTTCCTTGTTAATGGTTTCAACTGACAGATTTGTGTTTTCTGTCAGTCTGATTGTATGTTGTCTATTTTCGAATCTTCAGACTTGTACTTCTTGCAGCTGTTTTGTTTTCACATTTCATCTTTATTTGTAAGTAATATTTACACTACCATTCAAAAGTCTGGTTTTATTTTTGAAAGAAATTCATACTTTTATTCAGCATGAAAAATTTAGCAAAAGTCACAGTGAAGACATTAGTGTTACGAAAGATTTCTATTTCAAATAAATGCTGTTCTTTTGTACTTCCTGTTCATCAAATAATCCTGAAAAAAAATGCATCATGGTTTCCACAAAAATATGAATCAGCACAGCTGTTTTCATCACTGACAAGAAATGTTTTTTGAGCAGGAAATCAGCATATACTTGCATCCTTGCTGAGCATTACCGTGAGGTATTCAAACTTTTGAACAGTAGTGTATACAAGTGAACACTTTCAAACTAGTTTTCTGACAGTTCTGTAGCTGAGCCCGGATCCAGAGAGTCTTAATCAATAAATACAATGAGCATGATACAATTAGTTATTATTAGCTGCTCTGTGCGCCAAAGACCTGTTTTCATTCAATAAATCATGAAGTTCTGAAATTTTTAGACTGCTATTAAGCTATCATGTGAACTATACTTTGAAATATGTATATATGAAAAAAAAAACTTTTACTGTCAATTTACCATATTGTATAGATGACATATTGCTGCTGGTTGATGTTTTATTATCATATTTTTGTCTTAATTGTTTAACATTCTATAAAACCGTTTAGCAGAGCTTATTATCATTTGTCTTATTCGAATGTTTGATTTTATGTTTGGACTAAGTAAAGCATTAAAGAAATAGAAACTGTTGTTGTACTCCAATACATATTCAATTCTGCCACCTGCTGGCATAGAGGGCAAATGGTTTGAGAATTAGGTTTTACCTGGCTGTGACATTTAGTCAGGAGAGATAGACAGACAGATAGATAGATACTTCATTTTATTCTGCACTTTTATTACAACTACATTTTATTTAGTAGATGACAGGTAGTTGAAGATGAAAGAACTTAGTAGGAAAGGTATGATTTTTGGTGTAAAAAAAAAAAAAAGAACTGTTGTAGGAATGATGAACAAAGAAACAGGTAAAAACAAAACATCAGCATACAGAAGATACATGTGTGAATTGAACCAAAGATAAATGGAACATAAAACAGATAATGCCATTTTCTCATGCAAAAAACAAACAAACTGTGCTTATACAAAATGCTGTATATTACATTAAAATACAGCATTTGATATCTGATGATTTCACATAGTATGGCCATCTCCACAAAACCACGTAGTTGGATAATTTCCACTGATACAGTGGCAATGTTCATCAGTGGTATTCAAACCCCAATCACACATCCTCCACTTCCTCCAGTTTATGCTCCACTATCACATCGTGACCGTGGAATTTAAAATATCCCAAGAACTTCTTTTTCTGAAGCATCAATGGGAACCACAGGACGTCATCTGCCCACATCTGACTGAAAGGTATTTTATCTGTGTCAAACCACTGTGGCCTCATCTCTGAAAGAGAAAACAAACCTCTTCAGTCGCATGTTATTAGACCTTCTGTCTCAGTATGTGTCTCACAAACTGGATCATTAAGTGATGTGGCGCTGTATTACCGTCTGATTCGTTTGGCTCTCCTTTATAGGTGTCAGCTCTAAAAATGTGGACATCCAGCAGTTCTGTTTCCCCAATAAACTCAAATTTGATATTTCCAATCTTGTGGAGGGTGTCAACGGTAAGGCCACTTTCCTCTAGCAGCTCCCTGTCACATAAAACGTTATTTTGTTTTAGCTGGAAAACCAATAAAAGCAGGGAAGATTGAACATGGCCAAACGCTGGCACCACTGTTAAGTTCTACAGACAAGTAAATAATATAAAACATTCTCAGCATTACAAGGTTCAAATTGTTTAACTTTGATCTCTAGCTTCAATAAAGTGAAGAGATAGTGGAAGAATATAGCTTTTTTAAAGTTAAACATAAAACATGGTAATGTACATTTGTGTAAGAAAAAAATCTAATATACATATTAAATTCATACATATATACATATATAAATATATGTATATATATATACAGTGGGTACGGAAAGTATTCAGACCCCCTTCAATTTTTCACTCTTTGTTATATTGCAGCCATTTGCTAAAATCATTTAAGTTAATTTTGATATTTTCCGTACCCACTGTATATATATATATATATATATATATATATATATTCATAAATCTCTACTCTTGGCACCAGAAAGATAATTCTTAATGCTTTTACACCTGAAAACAATTGCTATGATTCAGTATCGGAACTGTAAGACAATGACATTAACCAAAAGGTGGCCAAACGTCCAATTTTCTTGTCCCTGGAAGTGTTTTACAGCACTTTCAAAACACCCCGTAAAAACACTGCAAAAAACGTAACCTCCAAGAGCACAAACATAAAATAACTAAATGTCTGTTATATAAAATTGTATTCCTCATATGTTCTCTTATTTATGTTACGTTTGTAATTTTTTTTTTTTTTGTAAATTCATAAACTTGTTATAATATTGTTTTGATGCAATGGCTACGACGATTTTTGGTGAATTATAGTAAAAACAGTTAGGGTCAGTTTCACCTGCAGTGCAAACATGATAATAATTATTAATTATAAGAAGATTATATGCTCACTAAAATAA